CTTGGATGAGTGAGGCACTACAAATATGTGATCTGATTCGAGATGGTGGTTTCTACACCGACGCAGTGATTGAAAGAGGGTCAGCCGCGGCTTTGTTCGGCAGCCATTGCCACCTGGTCCAAACATCGGAAAACATTAAGTTGTGCCTTGCAACGACCAGCAACGACGGACCACGGTCCACAGTACAACCGCGCCTCCTCCCTTTAACGCTTCTTTCTTTTAATTTTCCGGAGCTGAACCAGAACTTATCTCAGTACTACTAAGTGCCAAACTTCTCCAGCTCCAGCATTAGCTTGTACAGCTCCGATCCCAGCTGATGGACTATTCAAAATTGTCTCAATTGATCTCCATATCTATAGCTCTAATGGCTGTTGTCTTTGTTCAATAAACATGTGAGTATTATCATGTGCGTAGTGAAGAAACTGACCGTTTTTCTTTCGAACAGTATCTGTCAAATGAACATTCGTCCTTTTGTCGTTTCTTATATTCAACGCGTGTTTAACGTGTACACATCTACTACCACATCTGTTATCCTCAATGTCCGTTTTCCCTTTTTGTATGTCTTTCTACTCATGACCCACCATGGCATTGTTTGGCGGAATGCAGTCATTACGCTTTGACTGGGATAGTATGATGGTCAATGCACTACCTCTTTGGCCGGGTGGCCACGACCGCTTTGCTCTATCATTCGATATAAGACCTTCCGTTGATTTCAAGTCATCCATCATTTTATATCGGATTCCTCTTCTCTCTGAAACTCTTCGCGCATTTTCAGCATGCCACGGGTCCATATCAATTCCTCGGACAGGAGTTCCACGTTACCTCCCAAGATCCCCCGTCCTCCCAACGCGTTTATACTCTACCGCTCTGACAAAATCCCGTCTCTACCTCCTCCTCCTGTTGGTGTCACACGCAACCAACAAGAGGTGTCTAAATTAATCGGTGAGATGTGGCGTCGGGAGTCTCCTTCAGTTCGCGCTGAATTCGAGGCGCGTGCTGAAAGGAGGAAACGAGAGCACGAGATTCAGTACCCGGGCTACAAATATAGCCCCCAGACAAGAGATCGGGGTTCTAGAGATACTGAAAAGACCAAGAAAGAGATGTCGACTAAGATTGGGAATGGGAGGGGTATACAACGGGAACGTGCGCTTTTGGAAGGACAGCAGGTACGTCGATTATGTGAAACGCGGCGCTTTGACTCTAA